ATTTCATCAAGTGTTACTGGAAGTTCTCTTATCGTGTCACATAAAGTATTTTTTACTTCCACTTCCGCTTGAATGGCTGCTATTACCATATCCTCCAATGGTTCTGTGTGCTTAGGTATTAACCTTGATAAGCCATCTGCATGACCAAGTTTTTTAGATGGTACATACTCCATTTGAAAATTATAATTCAGAAGAATGGTACCCATCTTTGAGTCTATTCGCCGTATGTTGTGGTAGTCCCTTTTTCGATCCAAAAATCGTTAGTAAAGGTTTGTGATCCGTTTGTAACAGAAATTTTCTACCGTGCAAGAAACGATGAAATTTCTTTACTGCAAATATAATGCTTAGCACCTCTTTCTCGAATTTGCAGTAGTTCTTTTCGGCTGGTAAAAGTGAACGGGATGCATGGGCTATGGGTATTATTTTCCATCATCCATTTTGTGTAGTATGCATGCTCCTATGCCATAGGCACTGGCATCGCTTGCAACTATAATATCACGCTTGGGATTATAATGTGCCAGAAACAAGTCAGACGTTAATATATCTTTAATTTCCTGAAATGCTTCTTCGCACTCTTTAAATCCAGACCCATTTTTGGTCCTTCCTTAACAATTCATTTAAGGATGATCTTAGTTTATGCATATTTGGCACGAATACATTGAAATAATTCGCAACCCTAAGAAACTTTGTAGAGACGCAATATTTTCTGGAGCAGGCATGTCCCTTATTGCACTCGATCTATCTGGATCCGGCCTTCTTCCATGTTCATCGATAATTTGCCCCAAGTATTTTATTTTTCCATTTCAGTTTAAATCCATAATCCTGGATCCTTTTGAATACTTGGTTTAAAATGAGCTTTTGTGTTGTTCTTTTGCTAGCGCTGTTCATTAACGCATCGTCCAGGTACCCTACTGCGAAGTCCAGCCCACTTAACAGCATGTCCATTGTTTGCTGAAAATCGCAGGGCGACTTTGACCCCAAAGGAAGTCTGTTAAACTTGTATAATCACTTATGGGTATTGATGCATAGCAGCTTTGAACACTCCTGATCGACTGGGATTTGTAAATACGCGTCACTGAGGTCGATTTTAGAAAAATATTTCCTCCACTCAGTTTCGCGAATATTTCTTCAGGGCTCCTAAGGGATAATGGTGATCCTTTAATGCATTGTTTAAACCTGTTGAGAAATCGGCACAAACCCTAATCTCCTAGCTCTTCTTTTTAATGTAAACTGTTGGCGTAGCCCACTCACTGTGATCAATTTTTTTCGAGGACACCCATGTTTTCGAGTTTTCCTTCACCGTCTATTTGTTCTATAGAGGCGTCTGGAGCCTTTCTTTCTTTTAACACTGGCTGTTCATTTTCTTTGACTTCAAATTTTGCTACCGCTTTTGTACCTTCCAAGACCGCCTGTAAATACGTCTGGAAAATTCTTTTTAACTCCCTTTTTCTGCCTCCATATTCGCATCCTCAACCTTTTGACAAAAAGAGCTTAAAGGCAGATCCCATAGTCTAAATTTTTCGAACAGATCAGTTCCAAAGAGGTTATTTGATTTTCGCATGACAAAAATTTTCGCTTTTCGGTCTTATTCTGAAAAGAAATATTCGTTAATAATTCTCCTTCGAAGGTGATTTTTTCACCACTGACGCTTCTCGCCGTTTTATGTGATTTAATCATAGTGGGTCTCCCAAGCTTCTTCCATGTCTGTATATTAATGATGGAAATATCAGACCCACTATCAAGCTGTAGTCTTACTTTCTTTTTAAACATTTTGACCTGTACAAATTTCCGGATATTTCGTTCCTCAGGTTCAATTTTCGTTAGTTTAATGGATGTCTTCTTTCTGCCAGATTTTTTCCTACAATGTGATGCCTTATGCCCCTTCTGGTAGCAGTTGTCACATTGCTTGAATTTGTAGGGACACTCATTGTACCAATGTTTATCTCCACACCTCCAACACGGTCCAGGTGGATCTTTTCCCTGTTTTTTCCCCTGGTTATTTTTTGAAGTTAAATTTTTCTTCTGATCGACCTTTTTAATGTGTGACACTCCGCTTTCCTCTATATCAAGACTGTCCTGTTTCAACGCAACAAACCGTTCACTGTTTTCCGCTAAGTTTTGTAATTTTAAATTCGGCTCATATTCGAGTTTATTTAAAACACGACGCCTGATCTCAGCGTCTTTACCTAAAACCAGCTCTTGCACAAATATTAAACATTTAAAATTATCTGATGATAATTCCTCCAGTTTAAAATCGTCGCAATGCTTGTTTACAATACTTGCATAAGTAGTAATCATCTTCCTCTCTTCTAGTGACATTCATACACTTATATCTCCTGTGAAAAGAGAAGTTTTTGTAGAAAACAGTTCTGTTAGTAGAGTAACTGTCTCTTGAAAGTTCAACTCACTGGTCTTTTTGGTGGATAAAATTCACGAACTTTGTATGCTCGGCAGTTCCCAATTTTCTTAGCAGAAACCCTAACTTTTTTAGCGTTCCCATGTACCGCAATCCGATACAAAAATATCCCTCATATCTTCTATAGAAATGAGCAAACATGACATCGTCTTCTGGATTATAATTGAAACTTTCAATAGCGTTCCACACAGCCGTCTGGGAGAATGCGTTATGATTCTCGCTTGCATTCGTTAACTGTGTTGCCTCCAGATGTTTCATCTGTTCCTCCTGTGTTTTCATAAAGATTTGTTCGACGCGTTTCTGTTGTTCCAACAACTCTTTTTTAAATTTCTCCTCACTTTCAAGTTGTCGTTGAAGTTGTTGCTTTTGCAACGCGAGACTTTGTTCCGTTTGAAATTTGAACAATTGAAGAAGAGACTCTCTTAATTCTGCGTCCATGGTACCAATTCAATTTACGCACTATACAGTTTACACTTGTATTAAACAAATGAGTTTTCCCAAGGCTTGCTTACTAAAATTACTAATATACAAACAAGAAATATGTATTTCTCGTAAAAAACAAAAAATCTGTCGCTTTAAGGAGTGTCGACTAATGGGAAAATCACAATTTTTTTTTCCAACCTCTTTGTGGTTTTGCACAAATATGACTCGAATTTTTAACAGTCTTTGTTAAGCACAAATGACGCAAATATATATTTTTCACTCGACAAATCATTTAACTTTGAAGAGAAGAAAAAAAATTCTTACCGTGACAAAAAACTCTGGTTTCTTGTAAAGAAACAAAAAAAAACAGTGAACCTCTTTTTTTCGAAACCCTTGGTGTCAGTATTTTCAACTATAATTGACAATATTATTCGCGTTCTCACGCTGTAGACTTTTGGTAGCAAATTTTTGGTTGTTTCTAAATTTTTTTTTTACGTCACCAAATTACTATTGTAGTAATTAATTTGCTATTAATCCTTGCGTATCCACATATCTGCTCGAAATGACGAAGGTGTTTTGCCGTAAAAATCTTGCGAATCCTTGTATTTCAATCACTTTAGCTGATTGTCTGCAGTGATATCGTTTCGATTCCGACGTCGCCAATCTGTTGTGTCGTGGCACAATAGTAAAAATAAGAAAATCAAGTCGAAGTTGGTTTAAAGAACAAGTGTATTTAACATCACAGATACAAAGGTAGGAAACGGGTACTACTCAGCTAGGCAGTTGTAGTACTGTCGCTGCTTACACCGGGTAGGTATTACTGGCACTATATAAAGTGAGAACCGGTGTAATTCACTTATGTTAGAGGCCGGTGCAACACTAACTAAGTATTTTCACCATCATTTTCCTTCTTCTTCTATGTGCTATGTCCCTTCAGAATGTTGGGTGATCATGTCTCTCTCCAATTACTTCTTCTTTGTAGCTCTTAATAAATGTTGTACTTTTGTTATCTCTCCTAAGCCTTGTCCTGGCATCAATTTACTCAAGTTCGCTAAGTAGGTTATACGTTATTTGTTTCTTGTTTTCAATCTCTCCTATGTGTATCAATTTTTCCAAGGCTTCTGTCCTCATTGTGTGTCCTCGAAATTTCAACAGTCTCTTCCTGACGTTCAATATAAGCGTGCATTTAGTTTCCATTTTCTCTTAAACTTCGTCATTGCTCACACGTTTGGACCATGTTCCACGTTGCTGTTTTCATGTCTCTTCTTCATCTTTGAGGAGATTTTCCAGTATTTCTTTGTATTTAACTTTTTCCTGTTTCTTAATACTATTGTTTTGGTTTGGTTTGGTTTATTTTACGGCATATCAACACCTCAATGGGTCATTTAATGCCGACAACTTTTTTTTCTGGTAATAATTTTGTTTTGTCAAAAAGCCATTTCTGTTAATATTTTTTCTCAAAAATTTATAGTTGGTAATATTATTTTTTAAAAAAAAACGTATATCTGGTAATATTATTTTTTCAAAAACTTATAGCTGGTAATATTATTTTTTCAAAAACGTATAGCTGGTAATATTATTTTTTTCAAAACCTTATATTGATAATATTATTTTTCTTTTCAAGAATGTATAGCTAGAAACATTATTTTTTCAAAAACGTATTATCAGAGGCCTTGCTGTTGAACGTAGTTTATCGTCATATCCAGGACGCGGATGTAGTTTATCGTCATACCCAGGACGCTTCTTAATGCTATGCTTGGCTTTTGGAAAACATCTTTCGCTATCCAAATAAGTCTTCGGATTTTAGTGTCGTGATGTCTATCCTCTGTTAAATCACTTCCCAGATATTGCTGGATTTTGGTATCCCTAATTTGTAATTTGCATTTCTTTTTCAAACAGTAAATAATTGTACAGGCGGCAATAATTGATATATCATATCATTTGTTTACTCCGATGTCCGTATAATATGTATTAAATTCATTATTTACATTATTCGGACTATTGTCCTCATCTTTGTCGCTATATTTATTACAACGTTTCGGCCGTTGTACGCTCCGGCCTTCTTCAGGTGGTTAGAATGTCGAACTGAACCCTTTATTTCGCTCACTGGGGGAGACTGTTCTAATTCCACGTGCCATGTTCAATAGATGTCAATTATCAGTTATCTCCTGTTAATTCGACGAGAGAACCAAAGTCTGCAATTGGGAATGGAAAAAGGAGAATATGATTGCAAAGAGAAGCAAATCAAACAGGAATACGAAGAATTTGAAGAAAGAAAGAATACGTTAGCTAATAAGAAAAGAATAGGTCGGAAGGATGAAAGAGAAGAGGAAGAAATTAAATAGAAAAAAAAACGAGGAAGAAAAGAGAATAAGTGAAAGCTGAAAAGATAGAAAAATGAATTAAAAAGAAAGCCGAGAAGAAGAAGAAGAAGAAGAAGAAGAAGAAGACAAATAGAATACGAATAAAGGATAAGAAACAAAAAAATCAATTTAAAAAGAAGAAAGCAAAGAAAAAAGGAAGGATAAAATAAAACAGAGAATAAAAATGAAAAAAAAAACGTTAAAAGCTGAAAAAGTTCAAAGATGATTGGAATTTCGAAGCGAACACTGCATTTCGCCCACCGGGGTACGTTGTTCTAGTTCCACGTGCCATGCCTCTTCCGTATGTCGCAGGTATTTTCCTTTAACTCAACTCTCCATTTTTTTTTGGTTCACCACTGCTGTGGCCTGGCATTGATCTCAGAACTCTTTGGGTCTTGTCACTGGACTTAACCAACGTCATTATCCACAGGGCCTTGTGTCCTTGAGGATATCTGTGTATGAAATAAAGGGTTCGATTCGAAATTCCAATCACCTGAAGAAGGCCGGAGCGTACAACGCCCGAAACTTTGTGAATATGTTAATGAAGATGACGATAACAGAACGAATAATGTAGATAATGCAAGTATTCATAATACCTCATCTCAGAGATATAAACAGATATTTAAGAAATTTTATGAATTTTAGCCGAATCTAGTACTGGTTTCGCAGACAATGACTGCCTGGTAAAGTAATGTCTAGTATTAGTATTACCATTACCATATTGTATTTTATTTTTGACTAGCAGCATAGCCCGGCGTTGCCCATGCTTGATTCAAAAATCGTACGACTTATACAGCAATCGCTATCACTTGACTTAAAATATTTTTGCCCTTCCTTGCTTTTAAAGAAGTGCCCTTTGCCGTGCTGATGTTGCTCCATGCCTTACTTGTTACCTATCTCACACTGCGAATTTTTTCTAAGCTCTATACTAAACATTAAAACTGTTACGAAAAAAGAACTAAACAAAATGAACACAAAACGACCAACTTTAAAAAAAGGACTCGTAACTGGAAAAACCGAATGAAAAAAGAATGTTAACAACAAATACTTTTTCACACCCAACCCAGTTCTGCGGAATCAGAATCAACGTTGAGTTTAAGTAAGCGAATGAGCTAATTGGAGTAAAGTGCCATGCAGATTAAAATTTTTCCCACTTGTGACGAATGCAACTATCGACTTTTTTTGCATGCTAGTTAATATTCGTGTCAGTCAGCTGTTGGCTCTCATGCTGACCAATAGAATCTTCCTGCCTATTCGTGTCAGTCAGCTATTGGCTCTCACTCTGGCCAGTAGTAAATGGCCGCAAACTACATGAAAACTGCCGTCGAAGCATGAAAAAATCGATTATTTCCACTATCGATGGGAGTTGGGAAATGCAAAGTCGGTCTTGGCCTTCCCGCTAACTTGGAGCATGTGCATGTAAATTTTGGTGCAAATCCGTCGAAAATTGCGGCCGTGCATTCACACACACACACACACACACACACACACACACACACACACACACACACACACACACACACACACACACACATCCTGCCTTTTATAGATAGAGATGTGGTTTTAAGATTGACTGTGCACAAATAAGTTCGTGTGTTTATTGTCCTAATGTTGATTTTTGTTCACAATATGTTATTAAACAATTTCATGCTAAGAAACCGAAAATAAATCATGACGGCTTTTGCGGTTCTCGTGTTCTAACATATCTTCTCTTGAAAACTGTCCTGAAGTTTACTGAACGTGTGAAACGATCCAAAAACTGATTTCATCATTTCAAATGAAGGCTCCCTGGTTAACATAAAGTCTTTTTTTTTCTAGCCTTTCTTTGTGTAGAGTTTAACAAAAGAAAGTCAACGCCCGAGCAAGAAAATGAATAATAAAATTAGAAAAAAAAAATAGCAGTGCTGCTGTGCGTTTTATACGGTCGAATAAATGATTTTACAAAATTATATATCTTCCTGGTTAAAATCTTTAAGCCTATTTATATGTACAGAAATATACAATAAATTGTGTAGCTATCAAATAATCAAAGTAGGTCCCCCTTTTGAAAAGTCTTTGTAGCTTTTTTTTCTTTTAGATTGTTGTTTGTTGATAGATTAACCGTTCTTGTTGTTAGAAATATCATTTAGAATTGTTCATATGGCAGTAAATTAATTTAGGAACTGTCTTTTGGTTTGTAATGCTTTAGTCATAAATTTTGATTATAATTGAATTGAGTCTATCACGCACAAACATACATACATACAAATAGAAATCACATTCAACGCTAAGCATTCATTAGTTAATTAATCACCACTACGTTATTATAGACAATTTACAAATCGCAGCAATGCGACAATTTTGTAATCGTTCTATTTTCATGTAGTCAGTTTTGTGCACTCTTGGGAGAAACAGATCACAGAAGCTTTCTTCAGTCTCCCCAATGCTCGCTCGCTGATTCGTCTATGCCAACCAATCAGATCGTCTGCACGTGAAGATTAATTCTTCCCGCGCAGCGATCTGGAGCATATAGTCACTTATTTAAAAAAGAATTTTTCTTAGCTATTTAGTGAGAATTCAGCTGCCAAACGAATCCACGACAGTTGAAACCAAGCGCCAAACTTACCACTCACACACACCACTTACATGCTGAATATACCTTGTATACACTCACATAATCTTTTCTAACACAACAAATCTTTTAAGAACAATCATTATAAGAGACTCTTATGAACATTATTCCAGTGAACTTTGAAATACTAAAATAACAGTTAAAGAGAGACAACTCTTGTTTTATTTAACCTTTTCTTACTTAAATGCATGCTTTCTTTCACATTGTTGTTTGATATTGTACATCTTGTTAAATACATATTTTATGAGTAACAATCTCTTTGGCTTATCCTTTTCTACGTCAGCCATGTTTTCTAATCTAAAGTTAAATTAATATGATGAAGTCCGCCACAGTTCTTTTTCTCGTAAGTTAGTTTTAAATTCCAATGCTTTTCCTATTTAACAAATCAAGAATTATTATTTATTTCATATTATTTCTATCTGCCTTTAACTGTCGATTTTACAGAGAAGAATTAGAATAAATTCAATATTGAATTCAACAATGGTTGAAGTTGTATGTGAACTTATATAAATTTGTTGCGACGATTGAATATGTTTCTTTGTGAGATGTGTCAGTATATTGAAAAGGTTATTCTTTTAATCGAATGTGAGTGAGTGTGTGAAAAAATGGTTTTTGTTACTTCACTTGTTATGCAGATTTCACTTGGGTTGAATTCAGCTTCTTTAGTAGCGGATGTTGAATTTTCTGATTCAATATTCAAGAAAAGTTATTCAACTTCACTGTCTTAGCTACGATTCTTACGAATAGATTTTTCTGGTTTGGTTTGGTTTATTTTGTTTTACGGCAGATCAACCTCAATGGGTTATTTGATGCCGACAACATTTTTGGTATAGATTCGTATGAATAGAATATGTATTCTTTGGTTTAGATTGGTTTAGTTTATTTTGTTTAACGGCATATCAACCTCAATGGATTATTTAATGCCGACAAGGTTTTTAGAATAGATTCGTACGAATAGAATATGTATTCTTTGGTTTAGATTGGTGTGGTTTATTTTGTTTAACGGCATATCAACCTCAATGGGTTATTTAATGCCGTCATTATTTTTAGGATAGATTCGTACGAATAGAATATGTATTCTTTGGTTTAGATTGATTTGGTTTATTTTGTTTTATGACAGATCAACCTCGATGGGTTATTTAATGCCGATAAAAATTTTTATTGCTGGCAATATTTTGTATTGTCAAAAATCTGTTTCTGGTAATATATTTCCTTCAAAATTGTATTGCTGGTAATATTTTTTTCAGAAAAGTATGGCTGGTAATAGTTAACTATTTGACCATAGCTGAGACCCTAACAGGTGCTACCACCCTGGGTCAGGGTGGACCTGGGAACACCAGCAATTAAAAGGTGGTTCCACGCTCCTCAAAACATCCTGATCAAAGGTATTGTTGCTAGACGTAGTTTAACGTCTTACCCAGGACACGGATGTAGTTTAAAGTCTTAGGACGAATTTTTTTTAGTTTCTCAACTGAAAGCTTCTGTTCTCACTGGTGTAAGCTTCGGGTCTCACTGATTCAAGATTAGCGCTCTTTTGTTTTAAATACCAAGTGGGTCACATGATTTCCCAAATAAGGCTAGACCCTTTTCCAAGAAATGTGATCTTAATTCAAAGAAATGCGTAAGCGTCGTACAGTTTAACTAATCACTGGTTGGACGAAATTACTTTGTATACCTTAAAAGGCGTAATATTATTACTACATGAAATTTATCTTGATAGTGATTTAAAAAAAAAACAGCAATATTTGCTGAAATATCTTCACATTTAAAAATTACTTAAAATTAGAACTTTATACATACTCTTTATTAACTTCTGTATGAGGGTGCTTGTGATGCTCGTCCAAGATGCATAAACTGCAGCACGAAGATCATCAACATTTTCAAATTGCGATCCATGTCTATAAACATCATTTGCCATCCATCCCCAAACATTATCGATTGGGTTTCGATCTGGAGATCAATGTGGATGGCTCAAAAGCTGAATGTTGTTTTCCATAAAAATCCCCTTCGACCTTCGAACGTTGTGGATAGCAGAATTGTCCTACTGAATAATCCAGTTTTCTCTACATAGACGCGGGCCTTCCGTAATTAGCCATGCCT